TAGATAGATAGATAGATAGATAGATAGATAGATAGATAGATAGATAGATAGATAGATAGATAGATGATAGACAGACAGACAGACAAACAGATACATGGGCAATATAATATACAAGATAAAATATTAAACTGAAACTATGACAAAATCACAGTAATATGGGACCACAGAATTGCAACAGGATAATTCAACATCTAAGGAAGTTTTGAAAGATCCGGGGATGGGACGCGCACGCCTTCTTACAGACCAAAACGCAATCGTCACCCTCCTGCCTTTAACCCCTTATACTAGTGGTGCCCAAAACCTTGGCCACTTTGAAGACTTCTGGGCTTCAACTCCCAGAATTCTTTTCCCAGCTGGAGAATTCTGGGAGTTAAAAGTCCACAAAGTCTTCCAAGTGGCCAAAGTTGGACACACACACACACCTGCACTTGACCAAGCTCACTTGCTGGCAGAGAGAGAAAAATCAAAGCCAAGCTGGCTGGGGGATTCTGGGAGTTGAAGTCCCCCTCTTAAAAAAACAAGTTGCAAAACTAAAGTGTGGCAATACAGGAAAGGGCCGGGGGTGGGGGAGCATTTCCTTTGCCTCCTGCCCCCCCCGGCAGCCGGTCAGGACCCCCCCCCCCCCCCCCCCCACAAAAACCCCCGGGGCGCCCCCCCCAAGCATCCCCCCCCCCCGAGAGCCTCACCTGCGCGGCCAGGTAAGAGGCAGGAGTGCCTTGAACCGGAGGGGGCGTGGTTAGCCCGAGGCCCCTCCCCTCGACGCCTCGCGTGACCGGCGTGGGCGGGGCCTGCGCAGCGCCTCGGCCATGGCGGCTCACCTTAGCTCGGGCCGCGTCCCGCTGACGGCGCTGAGGGAAGCCGGGCGGAGGGAGCTGCGCGCCTTCCTCGACAAATGCGCCGGATCCAAGGTCAGCGCGGGCCCGGGGAGGATGGGTCCCCGAGTACTCCTCCCCCGGCCCCATTTTTAATAACGACCCTCCCCCTTCCGCGTTCTTGGCCGGCATTTCTTCTGCGCTGAGGTCGTTCCGCGTTGGGATTTATTCTGCGTTGATCTTCTCAAGTATTATTTTTAAGTATTGCGATCCTTACTTGTTATCCATCGATAGGACAGTGCAGTGATGATATTCTGCGGTGTGTTGCATGTTGGTATTTTTAATTTTCATTATTTGTTATTCAATCAATATTATACACTGATGCTTTTCCTCTGGTATTTATTATGTGTTGATATTTTAAAATATCATTTGTTATTCATTGGTATCATTCTAACACATTGCTATTTTAGATTATTTGTTATTCATTTATATTATTCTACATTAATACTGCACTTTGCTATTTTAGATTATTTGTTATTCATTGATATTATTCTACATTAATACCACACATTGCTATTTTAAATTATCATTTGTTATTCATTGATATTCTATATTGATATTGCACATTGCTATTTTAAATTATTTGTTATTGGTATTCTACATTAATACTGCACATTGCTATTTTAAATTATCATTTATTATTCATTGATATTATTCTACATTAATACTGCACATTGCTATTTTAGATTATCGTTTGTTATTCATTGGTATTATTCTAGATTGATATTGCACATTACTATTTTAAATTATTTGTTATTCATTGGTATTATTCTACATTAATACCTCACATAGCTATTTTAGATTATTGTTTGTTATTCATTGATATTCTAGATTGATACTGCACATTGCTATTTTAAATTATCATTTGTTATTCATTGGTACATATTGCTTTGCATGTACACTGAGAGCTTCTGCACTGAAGACAATTGTGTGGCCAAATTTTGGATTCATTGGTGTTACTTATTGGTATTTATTATACATGGATATATTTATACATCCTTCCAAGTGTTTCTCAGCTTCTTGAAGAAATGCTGTGACATACTTAAAAATCTGTTTTTTTCTTCTTTAGGCTATTGTATGGGATGAGTATCTTACTGGGCCCTTTGGATTGATTGCACAATATTCTCTTCTGAAGGTATGATATGGGCAAGAGTTACAAAAAATGCTAGATATGTGATAATGCACAAGATCTTTCATTGAAAAATGAAAGCGATAATCCTTTATTTCAAAAAAGGCTTGCTATATTCCTCTAGCTGCAAGCTGAGCCCCAAATCCCCTCTCTTTCTCAAATATTCAAACCAAATTGAAGGTTTTCATCATTGTTTTGATCATTTCCTTTCAGGAACATGAGGTGGAGAAAATGTTCACTCTCAAAGGAGGTCACCTTCCACCAGGTGATGTCAAGAACATTATTTTCTTTGTCAGGCCCAAGTTAGAGCTCATGGACATAATTGCAGACAATGTCCTCAGGTAAGGTCACCTGGGGATTTTGAAGTCCAGGTTGGCTGTGGGCTTTTTCAGGACAAACTACTGTTTATGTTGGTGGAGGAGGATCAGAATATAAGTTTGTTCCCCGGTTTTGCTTATTCTTTTTTTTTAATCAGTTTTTAGGTCTTGTATCTGTTTTGGATCTGACACTGTCCAGAGTCAGTTTTGAATTGGGGGTCCTTATTCATCTAAATCAGGGGTGTCCTATCTCGGCAACTTTAGGATTTGTGGACTTCAACTCCCAGAATTCCCCAGCCAGCCATGACTCATGAATTCTGGGAGTTGATGTCCACAAGTCTTTAAAATTGCCACAGTCAGACACCCCTTATCTAAATAGTGATAATATTTAATAAATTAACGGAGTGCTATATATATTGGATGGGTGGATGGATGGATGAGCTGACGTTTGAACTGGGCCAGAGACTATTAAAATTAAAAACTGGGCTTGATCAGATAAAAGTTCCTCCTCTTTTTCCAGCGAAGATAAAATCCGCTGTCCGCAGCGGGATTTCCACATCTTGTTCGTGCCGCGTCGCAGTTTGTTATGCGAGCAGCGCCTCAAAGAACTGGGCGTGCTGCACTGCTTCGTTCACCGAGAGGAATACAGCCTGGACCTCATCCCCTTTGATGGAGATCTTCTGTCCATGGAGTCAGAAAACGCCTTTAAGGTCAGAACTCACACAGAGAGAGCTAAGGAGGTCGCTCCAGGCCTCCTTTCTGATGGCAGGAAATGATGGCTTCCTGGAAAACTGACGGTGACTTTCCTTTCTCGTAGGAATGTTACTTAGAAAATGACCAGACCAGCCTCTACCATGCAGCAAAGGGACTCATGACGCTCCAGGCTCTCTATGGAACCATCCCGCTCATCTTTGGAAAAGGGGAATGTTCACGGGTAAAAATAAGCTGGAAAGTCTGTCCTCCTTTAGAGTTCAGTTTGGCTTCCTGCCAGCCTCTTTGTTCGGATCATTTAAGCCAGCAACTTTTAAGACTTGTGGCCTTCAACTCCCAGGATTCCCCAGCCAGCCACGTGTGTGTGTGTGTCTCCTCTGTTGTTCTCAGGAAGGACAAAAAATACTTCATCCCTCTTCTCTGAGATTCCATCTATGTTGAGATCAACCTGGCACACAAATTTTGGCTGGCTGGGAATTGAAGTCCACAAGTCTTAAAGTTCTCGAGATTGGATAGCTCTGATTTAGATGCTGAACTGAAGGTTTGTAGCCCAACACGAAATCCTAACTCCAGATGACCAAACCTTTGGAACAGTAGAATGTCTGCCACCTAATTTGGGCATAGAACAAAAGCAATGTCTGAAATAAGACAGAGGTGGTGGAAACTAGGTTGGCCTGCTGGATTGGAAGGGGCTTTTGCTTGGCTTGGATGTTTAGGAACTGGGAGCTGGGTCAGCAGAGCAGGGTGTGGGAAACGTAGCTTTAAAGGCGCCTGGTCTTTGTGATGTTAAATCTTTCTTGGTGGCCTGGTCTGTAATCTCCTGGATTCTCTGGATTGCAGCATGTGGCAAACATGATGATCCGGATGAAGCGGGAGTTTTCGGGGATCCAGAACCCCATTCTCCCTGTCTTCGATACCCTTCTGCTGCTGGATCGCAATGTGGATTTGATCTCTCCTCTGGCTACTCAGCTGACCTACGAGGGCCTGATTGATGAAATATATGGGATTCAGAACAGTAAGTAAGATCCTAACCGACAAGGTAGAAACTTTGTCAGTTCCTCTCAGCCCGGCCTGCCTCGAAGGGCTGTGAGGGGGAAAATTGGAGGAAGCGGGCTCCATAGACCACTCTGAGCTCCTGAAATCAAGTCATATACAGGGAGCCTTTGACCTACAACAGTTCATTCAGTGAGTTTGCTTGCTAGCAAATTTTATGGGTTTGCTTGCAAGCAAATTTTATGTGACAGACTCAGGTAGCTGATGGCAGAAAGATAGATCTCTGAATGAATCTGATTCTGTGAGCAACTCTGCCTGCCTGCCTGCTTTGTCTGATTTTGAGTAAAAGTTGCTCTTTTTTTAAAAATAAAAAATTCAATATTTACATACAATGGTGTGTTGTGAGTTAATTTTGTGAGTTTGCTTGCTAGCAAATTTTATGTGTCAGAAAAAGGGACTTAACGACCGTTTTTTACACTTACCACCTTTCCAGCATCCCCATTGTCACATGATCAAAATTTGGCCGCTTGGCAACTGTCTCATATGTGTGGCCGTTTCTGTGTCTCAAGGTCACATCATCCCCTTCTGACAATGGGAAAGCCAAATTCACTTAGCCAACCAGGTTTCTAACTTATCCACTGCAGTGATTCACTTAACAGCAGATGCAGGAAAGGTCGTAAAAAAGGGGGCAAAACTCACTTAACAAATGTCTCACTTAACAACAGAAATATTTTTGTTTCAATTATGGTCATAAGTCGAGGAGTAGCTGTATATCTTCAATATGTCTCTCCTGGGCCTTTTTTTAAAAACATCCGTCTCATTTCCTTTTTTTCTGTGATGTTTGGCAGCCTACGTAAAACTTCCCCCCGAAAAATTTGCCCCCAAGAAGCAGGGGGAGGCCGCGAAGGAGCTCCCCACTGAGGCCAAGAAGCTGCAGCTGAACTCCGCGGAGGAGCTGTACGCAGAGATCCGGGATAAGAACTTCAATGCCGTGGGCAGCGTCTTGAGCAAGAAAGCCAAAATCATCTCTGCTGCTTTTGAGGTAGGAAAACAATGCCCAGCCTTGGCAACCGGAAGGCCTGTGGACTTCAGTTTCCAGAGTTCCCCAGCCAGCCACATCTACTGTGCCCGAGAAGGACAAAAGAAACACGTCAATCCATCTTCTCCTCTTAGAATCCAACTAGGTTGTGACCAATCCACTACAGGTAGTCCTTACAATGGTTCATTTAGGGACTGGTTGAAGTTACAACGGCACTGAAAAAGTGACTGTTTTTCACACAACCGTTGCAGCCTCCCTGTAGTCACGCGATCAGAATTCAGGTGCTTGCTAACTGACTCATATCTATGACGGTTGCAGTGTGACCTTTTGCAGCCTTCTGTTCTGACCAAGGCTTCCCAAGACTAGTTAAGCTCACGCTTAGTTAAAACAACTCTTGTTTTATTTCAGCGCTGGGAATAATGTTCATTCCCAGCCTGTAAGGAGTCCCAAACAGTCCCTCGAGATAAGCACCCACCTTTATATCCTTTGAATTGCTGCCAACAACTTAAAAAATTAACTCTAAAAAAACCAACTGAAGTACAAAGTCCACACAGAGCCTCAAGGTTTAATCTGAACAGAGCGAACAACGTTGCTTCCTGCAAAGGTTTCTTCACCTTTGCCTGTCCTTTATACCTTAGGGGAGGGGCAATCACCTTCCAGTCTTACTCCCGAGTCATGCCTTTTATCTCAGCTGCTCTTGCCTTCTAGCAGCTCTGTGCACACACGGACTGGGAACAAACTCCCTTTGTTCCTCTTCCTTGCTGCTGCAAGGCTCCGGAGGCAACACCCCACTCCCAGATGGTCTTGGCCCCATCTCTGCATCGGATGCAGGACCCTCGTCCGAGTCCTCCCCAGACTCCCGGACTGGTCCCCGTTCTTCCCCTCTATCCGATTTTGTTGCCGTCTGCACCGGCTGCCGGCAAACCACAACATCTTCTGGCAAGCAAAGGCCACGGGGAAGCCAGTTTATGTTTGTTTTTGACTAACTTGATTCACGATGATTCACTGAACAAAAGTCTTGAGAGAGCTGTCAGCAAGGAATATAAATCCTTCCATTCTCCACCATTCAGTCAGAGCTGAAGAAGCTTCTTGGATGAGAAGCGAAACGTTTAAAAAAAAAAAAAACAACCAAGAAAGTCCAGTTGCCTCCTGAAAAAGCCTCCTTGGCAAGAAAGGTCTTAAAATGGGGCAAACTCAGTTAACAAACATCTCACTTAGCAAGGGGGGCTCCATTGTGGCCCTGAGGACTATCTGTGCCTAATTTTTGTGCAGCTGCCGTGAAAAAGTTTCTCTCTTGGTGCCAGGAGGATCTGAGCTCCGTAATTGATGCGAGAGGGATATTCGTATTTTTGCACTGGAAGGAAGGAAAAGGGGAGGACGTCACATGGTCAGATGTAATAGGTGATAATGAAACAGCAGCTTACAAGGAGTGGAGAGACCCATTAAAGGCCAGCCTTACGGTCTGCCTGCCTGGGCTTGTCATTCATCGTGTTGACACTTCCCTCCGCTTTTACACTTGTCAGTAAGCGTGTGGGATTTGCACAGTTTTTGTTTCTCTCTCTCTCTCATTCTCCCCTGAAAAAGCTGGATATAGATTATGAACTTCGGTAGGTTAATTAATAGATCATTACACTTTGCGGTTATCCGGTCCTTAAGAGTTATATACACTCTGTTTTTCATTGCTATGGAGATAATTCCACTAATCCCGCCTGAGATTTGCCAGATGATCATTTCTCGGTCGATGAGGGAAGGGGAATTTAGGAAGCTGCAGGTTTGGATTATTATTTTTTTTCTCCCCACCGAGATTCTCAGTCCAAAATACAAGGTTTTAAAGAAAGGAAAAAGGCAGGGTGAAAACACAGAACTTAAGAAAAACTTGAGCAGATGGATCGTCATTAAAAACAAATAAATTTTAGAAATTGGAGTATCTTCCTGAGGTCCATTTCTTCCACTGGCAATAGTTTTGAGTTTTGCTGGCATGCTGGGAAGTCCGTTGTGCGTATAAATGTCACTGAATTAGGTGAGCCAGTTGACACTTTGAGGGTTTCCCAGTAAAGGTTTCTTGTTCCAAGCACGGTTTCCTTTCAGCCTACAGAAAAATACAAACACCTCGTTGTTTCTCCTGGAACAAGAATAAAACTGGATGAGTTCAGTGGATTTAAGTCACTGCTTTTTGGACAATTTTGGCCATTCTTTAGTCATTGGACAGGAGAGGGAAAAAATTGACACAGGAGAAGGTGATCTTCTCGTAATACAAAAAATGACATGTTGTGACTTCTGTCAATCTCAATGAAGCCGAAGGGGATTGTTACCTGTTGGGTAAAAGGGGTAGAATCCAAGATTAATAGAGCTTTGAGGAAGAGGGAAGGACAGTGGTTAGGCATGAAGCTGTAGAAAGAGGGAGACTGTTCTAGTCCCACCTTAGACTTGGAAAAGAGCTGGGTGACTTTGGGCCAACCACCAGGAGACGTTGAGTTCTAGTCCTGCCTTAGGAATGAAAGCCAGCCAGTCCCTCTCCCTCAGCCAAACCCACCTCACAGGATGGTTATTACGGGGAAAATAGGAGGCGGAAGGTGTGTTGGATATGTTCTCAGCCTTGAGTTGTTTGCAAAAACCATAAAGGGAGGATGTAAATAAAATGAATGGCTCTGGACACCCTGATTTATGTTCTTAGGAAAGGCACCACGCCAAAACCGTGGGGGAAATCAAGCAGTTCGTCTCACAGCTGCCGCACATGCAGGCTGCCAGAAGCTCTTTGGCCAACCACACCTCCATCGCAGAGCTCGTGAAAGATATCACCAGTAAGTAACTCGAGAGTATCTTTTTCGGGGGACGGGCATAAGGGAAGGTAGGTTTCCCCTCTTAAACGAGGATCAGACCAAGCCAGTTTTAATCTCTTCCCGCGATATTGGCCGTAGACCAGATCTCATTGGTATCTTTGCTATTAAAATAGCTCAGGATCCCGTTATCGTCACTTCTTTACAACTTGTTTTGTTCTTCTATTGTAAGCCTCTGAAGACTTCTTCGATAATTTAACGGTGGAGCAAGAATTTATGTCCGGCATAGATACCGATAAGGTAGGCCAATGTTTCCTCAAAACACCTGGTGTGTTTTGCATAAACTAATTCCCCATGGAATTGGGATGTTTATCTGGCGAGGGGCATTCACCCAAGAAACTGGCATCCATAATTTGGGGTTTAAGCATCTTTGAAACCCAGATTGCTGTGGTCCAAACTAGCCCTTTAGCCAGTGTTTCTCCACTTTGTCCACTTATAAGATGATAAGACTTCAACTCCCAGAATTCTGCAGCCAGCATAGGTGTGAACGGAAACCACAGGTGAAAACCACTTGTGTAAGGTTCGGCAGATTGGCGTGAAATGTTTTTGAAACCCAAGATGGTTGGCATGAAGCTTCTTCCATATCTTCAGCACATAATTCTGCAAAGAAGGTAACCTCTAACTATGCAAGTTCGTGATTTTTGTTGGAAATTTAATTTTTTTTCTCCGCAGATCAACAGTTACGTAGAAGATTGTATTGCCCGAAAGTATCCCTTGATTAAGATCCTAAGGCTCGTTTGCCTGCAATCGGTGTGCAACAGCGGCTTAAAACAGAAGGTGCTGGATCATTACAAGAAAGAAATTCTCCAGGTTAGACTTTTGCAAGGGCAAATATTGATGCAGCTTGGGGAAGACCCGAAACAAATTTAGAGCATTTTGTCAAATGAAAACAGTCACAGATAAGGAAAGGAAAAAAATCAATGAAAAGATCGAGATATTTTATCCTCCTTTATGATTTATTCGTTTTCCTTGAATATGCAATTGTCAGTTTTTCTTCGTCTTTTCGTCCTTATAATTCTATATTTCCTCTGAAAATGGTTTGCAGATTAAAAGTGCAGACTAGAAATGGTGAGAGGTCATCGATAATTTTTAATGGCATAACTGGACTTTCAAATCCTCGAAAGGAAAACTGAAATGAATTCATAATTTGAAAAATCCCCTTTCCCCGCCTGACCCCTTCCCTTTCAACCTGGCAGGTAGACAGTTTCTACGGCCTCAGCGGCCAAACTCGCCATTTCATGAATAATGTATAAAATGAATATATTGAGGCTAAAAGGCCCTCATGCTTTTTACAGACTTACGGCTACGAACACATCCTGACCTTGAATAACCTAGAAAAGGCTGGACTTTTGAAGCCTCAGCTGGGCAGTCGAAACAACTACCCAACCATCCGGAAAACTTTGCGTTTGTGGATGGACGACGTCAACGAACAGGTAAGATCACCTCGGCCTCTTGCAGCCTTTTAAGAGAAGGTTTTTCAAAGTGGCCCCACGTTAACCTGCTGTTACTCTTCAATTCCATCCCTTCTTTGCTTTTTTCGTTTTTGCAGAACCCGAACGATATCTCTTACGTCTACAGCGGTTATGCACCCCTAAGCGTTCGCCTGGCACAGTTGCTCGCCCGGCCAGGTTGGCGAAGCATTGAAGAAGTCCTAAAAATACTTCCTGGTCCACATTTTGAGGAGAGGCAGCAGCTGCCAACTGGACTTCAAAAAAAGCGTAAGTCTCTTTGGACCCACTCACCCCCGTTCAACCGGAATATGTTTTTTTAAGCGCTCCAGGACTGTGGATAAGAGCCATAGCCACAGTCCAGTTGCCTCTTGTAGACTTAGGGGGTTCCAGTGGCCATATAAATGGGGGGATTGGTCACTGTGGGAGGCACCCAGTTGTTTCCAAAGTGTTACAATAACCCAAAGAACCTTGATTACGTTTCATCAATCACGTGGTTGCAAATTCTGGAGTGGTTGGGGTGGCCTAGAGGTGGAGCTGTTGCCTCCCAATCAGGAGGCTGTGAGTTCGATCCTAGGTAGAGGCAGATACTATTATCTCTGGGCACAATGAGAATAGATCTGCTGACCAAAACTCCACATTGGCGACAGGAAGGGCATCCGGCCAGTAAACACTCTTCTAGCTCCATTCCATAGTCCAGTCTCCACCCCGCAAGGGATTATGGGGTCGTTAAAAGAAGAAGACGAAGAATCACATTTAAATTCTGCATTGCACTTCGCATTTCCTCCTGTGTGGCAAAGGTTCCATGATGGTATTGCAGGGAGTCCTTGGCTTAACGTCCATTTGTTTAGCGACCGCTTAAAGTTACACCCCCCCTCAAAAAAAGTGAGTTACGACGTCCTCGTACTTACGCCTGTCGTTCCCATGGTCATGTGATCAAATTCGGTCACTTGGCTTGTCTGTCTGACGAGTCAGTGGAGGGAGCCAGATTGACTGAGCAAGTGCAGCGTTTCGCTTAAAAACGTGTAAAATCAGCCAGGGCTCACTTAACTACCTTGCTTAGCGACAGAAACTCTAGTCCCAATTCTGGTTGTAAGTTGAGGACTCCCTGTTTACATACGTTTGCTCACACTCCAATAATAGCATTGACAGGACACTTTTTTCATTGTTCTATGAACAGTTGAGTGGGTGGAAATGAGCAGCAAAGCACAACGTAGAGTTTTGAAGGCAGTTTTTTATATATATATATAAATATATATAAATATATATATATATTACACACAATTTTTTCCCCATGATCATTCCAGGCCAGCATGGAGAAAACCGCGTCACTCTCGTCTTCTTCCTGGGAGGCGTGACGTACGCCGAAATCGCAGCTCTCCGCTTCCTCTCGCAGATGGAGGACGGGGGCACCGAATATGTCATCGCCACCACCAAGCTGATCAACGGGACAAGCTGGATTAAGTCTCTGATGGAGAAGCTGGAGCCTCCTCCTTTTTAGGAGAAGCCGGGGTAGACCGAGCAGGACTCGATCGAGATGGGATCGCGGTGCGTAATGTACGTCTGGAACAGGGTTCTCCATCCTTGGCCACTTTAATCCTGGAGGGACTTCAACTCCCAGAATTCCCCAGCCAGTTTTGCTGGGCGTTGAAGTCCTCCAGGCTTAAAGTGGCCAAGGTAGGAGGCCCCTGGTCTGGACTACATCAGAAGAAACAGATGCCTCCGGAAGAGAGAAGGGGATTGTGGACTTACCAAATTGAAAAGGAAGATGGTTTCTCAGCTGCTTTCTAACAAATATGGGCCCAGAAAGAAAGCTCAGCTTGGCAATCTGCACTTTGGTCCTCTCCCTTGCGTCATTCACAAGTGTCATTCCCGGATTTTTTTTGTGTTACAGTTTCGAAACCCTTCTTCCTTGGTGTATATCTCACCATCTTTCAGGACATTTGTCCTAATATTTCGTCCTCCTCCTTCCCATTCTGTAGTTAGCTTGGTTTTCTTACTTCAGTCCAATGATGTTCTTAATTTTTCTCCCCAGGCAGTTAATCATGTTGGTAGATTGTACTCTAGCCATTTTCCTTCTTCGGCTGCCATTCTAAAGCTTGGAATTTTGTAAATCTATAACAGATATAACCACTAACGTTATACAGCTCTATCCCAATCCTCTTGTTTTCAAGGAATTCGATTTGTTTCTCGCAGTTTTCTACAGCAATCCTGCTTTGCTGCCAATTTTGAAAAATCCTGCTCTCTTAATTAATAACTCCTTGAATGCTTACAAGCCCTCAGTATTGAACAAACTCATTTGCACTGATCATTATTGAGAATAGTGGGAGAAGAATATGAGAGGCGACTGTTTAATCGAACCTCACTCAATTGCAAACAAACAAGCATGTTTAAAAAGTGCTGGAATATTATGTTTGAAATCCAAGAAGATAAATATTATAAAGACTCAAACGCAGGCATTATCCAGCCTATACGTGTGTGTGGGGTTGCTTTTTTTTGAACGTGTTCAGTTTCTACATTAGTGCCAGCAGAATCTCTCCGTATCATTGTGAAAACAATACGATTCTCTCCCGTTAAATGCCATTATTGCGATAGCTGCATTACTCCCCGTTCTCCAGAGTGCCACAGCCCCATGAATAGAAAACCTGAGAATCAGGAAAGTTAAGCTTGTTTCTGGACAGTGTTGACTGAGTCCCAAGGGAGATAATTATATGCTAACGGCTTCCTGGGTAGTTTGATTGTGATCTACTTTTGATCAAGGTCTGGCTGATCACAAGGCTAATAATTGGATAATAAGAGCTCCTGATTAAATTTAGAGTCCATTTGTTGAGCCATGATGTCTAAGCCAAAGAAAGGGGGGCGATAATGGAGACCTAACTGGCCAGGAAGAGCCAGTTAAGCAGGAGGAAGGGGGAAATAAAACTTTAAATAGAGCAGTGAGGTATTTTTCAGGTTAGAGACAGGCGTAATGCAAAGATTTCTACTACAAAAAAACCCCATAAAAAATTGGTTATAAGCAGAAGCAAAGTTTTCTCTAAAGTGCCTGTGTGCCTTATGCCATTTTCCTGCCTTCCCCTCATGTTACTTTCAGCACCTCTGAATTTTGCCCTTTTTCTTCATTTTAAGCCTGAGGGAACCAACATACATGTAATAAATTTACGAAGGATGTTCAAATAGCCAAGAGAGAAGATAGCCCCCAAATCAGAGACATCTGCAAAATGTCACCAAAGGACTTGGCCACATGGTTCCCACTGACAGGAGCAGCAGAGTTGAATTTCGGTCTTGCTGGGATTGGAGCCCAGTGATTGTTGCTACACACATACACAAATACTCACAGACACACAAACAGTGGCTGAGCAAAACATGGACCTGAGCACCAAATGATGTAAGATTTAAAGCGGATGTTGAATTTGAAAACATGCCGTTTTTAGCTCTGTCTATATATATTTAACTGTCATCATAATTTGCTTTGGGTTGAACAACCACATATCTTTTAATAAGCATAGTGTATGTGTTTGGGTAAGATTGCAGCTCAGTATGTAAATCTCCCTTTCGTAGTAAAAGTTATCATTGCAACAGTGGGGAGAAAGTTACTCTCACATTCTCAACAACGGATCCTTAGATTTATCCTACCCAGTGGCTAGAGATTGAAAACCTACCCTGTACTATTTTGGAAAAGTAGAAAGCTCCAATAGTATCTTTAAAGGATAACAAACTTATTATACTCTGTGTTTTTGCACACAAGTGTATTTATTTCATCGCGGCGAGTATTGGAGCATCCTTAAAAAAAAAAACCACTTTCCTCATTACTTCCATTCTATTTTCATTTTTAAAAAGCCTCAGGATATATATATATTTTTCCGTGCAGCGAAGAACAAAGAAGATCTGTGTATCCCATTGCAGAATTACTCTCTGACCACACCTATTAGTACTTCGCTCGTCTGGTGTATAAATAGAGAGCAGCCTTGTGCTGCCTCTTCAGATGGTCCAGCCACCTCCAGAAGCCGCTCGCTCAAAAACACCCACAAAAAAAGATCCTCCAACCTCATCCTCCAAAAAAGGTGAGAAATTTAATCGGCATCGAAATATAATTAACTTTGATTATTTTTTTATAGGTGTGGCATTTTAATTATAAGAACTGTAATCTTATGCAAGATAATGTTCACATCCAAACAAGTGTTTACATGCACTGCTACTGAAAAAGCAGACGTTTGGGGATTTTCAGGAAATTCTCTGAAAGTATTTTTTTTTTTTAAAGAAAATATATTGCAGGTCCTTGGTTTGCTGGCTATCTAATATGTACCTTGTTGGGGAAGGAAAAAATAATAATCTCAATTAGCAGTATGCAGCTCTTGGCTTGATTTTTTTTTTCCACCTTGGGGACTAAACTGAGATTAATTACTAGCTGTCCTGTCAGTAGGTTTCTCCTTATAAAAGGAAAATTCAGTATAATTAACGGGCTCAGAGCGAAATATTGCAAATCTTGGTAAAGATAACGGCAGCATCTTTAAGGCATTTATTAGATTCCCAACCGTATGTTTCTAAAAAATGGGGGATTGAAAATGAGCTTTTTATAAAGTTTAGGCACTATCTAATTATTACAGTGTTGCAGTCATGTCGATGGGGAGATTGATTTTAAAGCTACCCCCGCCCTTATTTTTGGGTGGATGGAAAGATGCAGGCCAAACTATTTGTAGATAATCGCTAAACCAGAAACATCGTTTTCCCAGCAGCCCATCCATTAGATGCAATTATAACATTAAATATTAAAGTGGCCTCCCTATGGAAAAATCGACTGCTTCGATGACTGGATTTAGTTGGTACTAATGGATATATTAGCTATATATCTTGAGCTTCTGTGGCTGCACAGCCTGGAATCCTATCAGGCTGGCCGCTTGCATTAGCTTTCCTAAAAATTATGAGCAAAGCTTGCAAAATTATCCTCCAGTGCAGGCACCTCCAACCTTGTCAACTTTAAGCCTGGAGGACTTTAACTCCCAGAATTCCCCAGCCAGCTTTGCTGGCTGGGGAATTCTGGGAGTTAAAGTCCTCCAGGCTTAAAGTTGACAAGGTTGGAGGCGCCTGCTCCAGTGACTTCACTCCCAAACAGACCGATATTTTAATCCTAGGCCAATTTACTCACCAGGCAGAACACAATGCCCAATAAAGCTTCTTTCTCAATTCAGCTAAGTCTCGCTTAGCGACAGAAATGGGCTCGATTGCGGTCTTACGTCGAGGATCCTAGGCAGAACTAACCCCGTAGTTCTGTCTGCAATCTTGCTTCAAATCCTTGCTTAGATCACCAACCAGCTCCTGTTCGTTGGCCTCTTTCATTCTGTCGTTCTCTTTTGTCCCCTCCCTTCTTCCAAATCCAGCTGTTCCCATGCAGTTTTCCCCACCACCTTTGAAATCCAGGATGGTGCAAGAATCCTTTACTCTCCACTTCCTGAAGGTGCTGAAGGAACTCCTGGCCTTCGTGCTTTTCAGTTACACCGTCTTGTTTGGAGCGCTGTTGTTGGCTGGATGGACGACTTACTTCCTGGTGCTAAAGTGACCCTCGTGTTGTGGTTCTGCCTGGAGCCCGGAGACCTCAGCTGGATAAAATATCCCTTCCTTCTCCCAGCGTTTTGCCAGACTTTAATTTTGTTTCGTGATAATCCTGGCGCTTTTTAAAGAAACTACTCAGTTTCAGTCTAAGGTTTTCTCTTTTAAAATCTATTTCTTGAGTATCAGAATCTCAGGCAGTTACTTATTAAGGCACTTTCTCTCTCCAATCCATCTTTTTTTCCTTTTATATAATCTCGCGGGGATATCCGTATTAAAAGCTGGCAAGTTGTATCATGCCTTTTATTTCCTGATATTGTTAAAACGCTTTGATGTCTCTCGACTTATTGTCTTCGCTTTGATTGAGCACTGAAATTTAACTCCTGATCTTTACTTTTGAATTTTATTTTATTTTTTTCGAATGAGGTTTTGATATTTTCGGTGTCAGACAGCTTCCTCTTCCAAAAACAGCTCAATAAAATTATTTACAAGTCTAGGATTGTCTATGTTAAACGCTGAAAAAAATTAAGCGAAACAACTCACATTGCTACATCTTACAATGTCTAAGCTTTTGGAAAATGGGAGATTTGAACATGTACACAGTCCTACGCATTCTGAGAGATGGATAAATGTTTACTTGGTAAAAGTTAAGTAACAGCAAAGCTGCTTTTTTTACTGTTTTATGTTTCTTATTAATAAAGTTTAACATACACTTTAACTCCAATCCTTTATGTAAGTGACAAAAGTATGCTGTACAGATACAGGTATTTTGTCTGAAACTCCTGAATGCTTCAGTTTCACTTCAAGGGAAATTAATTGCCCAATAATTGAGTTATTGGCAGGTTTTAGCTCAGACTGATTTAGCACAAATTCCCACCCAGCTTGTTGACTTAATATCAATGCCTGTTTTTTGTTTGTACAAAGCATAAACTGTTTGAAATGTGTGGATGAGTGTGTAAAATCATAGATTTAGAAGAGCTTAATTCTGACCTCAATATCAAGTTAATAATGACTTAAAGTTAGTTTTTATCAGCTGCAAAATATACATTAATTAGATCTTGCGAGCCAATTAATAATGAGTGAAATGCCTGAGACGCCTTATATTGGAATGTGCAAATAATAAAAATAATTATAGAAATCAAAATAATTATTAAAAGTAATTTCGAAACATTCTGAAAATTCACTTTTATTATGATGATGTTCCACTGCTTAACCCCTTTGAAAAGTTGGAAAATTTTATTTTGGCGTTAAGAGGAGCAAATTAGTAACATTAAAACTTGCACTAAACTTCTCAAGTGACGGGTGAAGGGGCGCATGCGCGCTCCAATAAATACACGTCCTTAGGACGCATGCGCACGCCCCCTCAATTAAAAAAAAATAGTTTTTTCTGTTTCCGACTATGGTCTGACGATCTAGATCTCGATAACTCTATGATGCAGACCTTCGCTTTCCATTGGAAGTTGAAGCAAACTCGTTCCTTCCTAGAGCGGAACACGAAGGAAACGATGACATCACAATAAAGTGCGCGTGGTCAGAAAGAGGAGGAGCCAAGGAAGGAAACTCGGAATGACGTAATGGTGGGCACATAAAGCAGGAGGGCTAAACTCTCTCCGCTCTTGTAGTTACTGGGCGTCGTAGAAGACGTCATTTCCTGCGCGCCTTGTTGCCATTGAAGAGAGAGAGAGAGAGAGAGAGAGAGGGTCAAGATGGCGTCGGCGAGGAGCCGTTGGCTATGGCGCTGCTGCGCCTTTTTCGGGTATTTTCTCTTTCTTCCCCGAGCTCCGAGGCCGAGGCTCGTCTTCCCTGGGAACTGCGGGCCCTTGGGCGCCCCTTACACCGGCGGACGAGCGGCCTCTCCGGGTTGGGGGGCCTCAGTTCCCATCATCCGCAGCCCTATCTCGCGTGGCTTTTCCATTGGGGGTTGCTGTGCGAGGCCTCCTTGCTTGGTGTCCTCCCAGTTGGGGGGTGGGGGGGGTGGCTCTGTGGATGCAAAAATCTCGTCTCTTTTTTGCCCGAAAAGGGGGCTTGATGTGGATCTCGGGGGTTGGGAGGGGCGGGTTAGGATAGGAAACTGCCCCCCATTATCCCACCCTGTGGGGCTGGAGGAGGAAACCAGAGGCATCTCCCCCTGCACAAGTGTTCACGGCCGGCTCAGGTGTAAGGAGAAAGGCCTGGACCCGCTGGCCTCCGTTGCTAGACAGATTTCTCTCTCATTATTGTTGTTGTTGTTATTATTTACTATTATTAATATTAGTATTATATTTTGCTTTTTTAAACTGTTGTGGGTTCAAGAGAGGAGAGGTGCCCCACTTTCCCAATTGTGCCACTTGAAATTAGTTTATAACACTGTCCAACTATTTACAAAGTCTGCACTACTGTTACTGTTAATCTTCTCATCCCTCCTTATCGCCCATCCCTTCCCACTTGTGACTGTATGACTGTAACTTTGTCACTTGTATCCTTACGATTTATATGGACTGTTTCCTAGTGTGATTTGATTGCTTATTATATCCTACGACTATCATTAAGTGTTGTACCTGAGGATTCTTGACTCTTGACGAACGTGTCTTTTCTTTTATGTACACTGAGAGCATTTGCACCAAAGACAAATTCCTTGTGTGTCCAATCACACTTGGCCAATAAAGAATTCTATTCTAATTCTATTCTATTCTAAAGCCCCGCTTTTCTTACACAAGTTGCTGCAAGGAGGCGTTCGAAACGTTGGATTCAGGCTGTTGGCTTGTTCTCCCCCCACCCTGCTCTCTTAACGTGCTGCGTGTCTTTTCCTCCAGACGGAACTTTCCGCTCTTCTCCAGCGTGAGGACACAGTGCGTGCCTGGACTGAGGGCGCCATGGAAGAAAATGGCCACTCTGGGCTTTGGAATGACCTTGGCCGCTATTCCCATTGCACAGGTAGCTTCCCGGGAAACCCCGTTTTGTTCCGATGCCAGAATATGAGCTGCTCCTTAGGTTTAGTTTTGCTGCCGCCTCTAGGCAAATCTGTCACTGCATCCTAAGTCTTTGTTATTTTCTTCCCTTCTCCAACTCTTAACAGCTTTTGCAGGTGTTCAGACTGAAAAGGTTATTCACACACACACACATACTTGTAATGCTAGAATGGAACTTTAAAAAAAAATATTGCTAGTTATTTACTGAGAAATTGCTTTCTTTTGTGAGGGACAGCTACATAGAGCCCGGTAGAAATCAGTTTCAGCAACAGCCAAGTTGCATGCAGAAATTACTGAAATTATGCAGTTAAAATGTATTTTAATCCATCACTTAATCTTAGCCAAGAGGCTAAAAAGCAATAAGAACCCCCAGATTCATGGAAATTTCTTTTGCTATTTCTTTTGCTCCCTATATTTTTCCAGCAAAACCTTTCGATTTCTTGTGTTCTTAACATTTACAGTTGACATGAGATTCCAGTTGTATAACAGTTCCTAGGTTGTTGTTTTTTTTAATGACAACCCACATTATTTCCTTCTCTGCCAGTTTGGTAAAGTCATTCTGCTTCTGAAGCGACACATAATGTTTGTCTTTCAGAAACACGATCCGGGTTCTCTAAGCAATGAATCCTTGATCCGAAGAGCAGTCTCTTTAGTAACCGACAGCACCGGGACGCTCCTTTCTCAAACCACTTACGCATTAATTGATGCGCTAACAGAATATACCACGGTAAGAAGACGCCTTCAGCCTGCCACATCCAGCAGGGTGGTGCAAATACAACTGTATGTTTAAGCCACTCTGGGAAAGAAAGCTTGGTTCCAAAAAAGTGGGCTACAATGACCAAACCTAAAGTAAAAAGTGAATGTTAAACTCTAGACAAGTACAACCTTAACAGGCTGGGATTATTTACAGGCAGTTTACACATTGGTGTCCCTGTACCAAAAATACACGCATCTCCTGGGGAAAATGAATTCCAAAGAAGAAGATGCTGTTTGGCAAGTAATCATCGGGGCCCGAGTGGAGGTGAGCGACATGATCTGGTGCTTTTTCCCCTTCAGGGACTCAGGCATCTGAACAGGGTTGTGTATGGACCCAAGAGGGTCAAATCCTTGGTAATATCTAGTGGGGTGACCATAATTAAGGAACCTGAGAGGAGAATGATCTGGAAGCTGTGCAAAGGGTGCGCCAGATTTAATGATTTTAATCCCGGCTTTGTTCAGATGACGTCGAAGCAGCAGGAATATCTCAAATTAGAATCCAGGTGGATGACCGCCCTGCGGCTTTCAGAGATGGCTGCAGAAGCAGCATATCAGTCAGGTGAGATACGTGCAAGCCTCTTAATTTTAACTCTTTCCCCCTTTCTTCACACTGTTGACCGAATCAAATACTCTCTTCATTTTTCCACCTGTCAAAAAAAATGTTTTACCAAGAAACACTGGACAGTCTCCAAAAGGCTGGAACGATAGTGGAGTTTCTTAAATCCCTTCAGACTTTCAGAAATACGCCTTAACATTTCACTAACACCTAAAAGCATATTAGGAACTCCAGTTGGCCTGGTGGTCTTGAGGATGCACTCATGCATGTGATATAAAGGTGTGTGTGTATTTGTGATGACTCAGGGCGTGGCACAAAAATAACAAAAGTCACCAAAGTAGATAAATTTCCCTTTAATGCCTCCAACTTCGCCCACAATGTCCAATTATCCTTGGCGGGAGATCAAACTCTTCCAAAAACAGTCTACAAAAGGAAGAAATGCAGTCCAAACCCAAAATACAGATAAAGTAGAAATAAAAAAGCCCAACAAACCAAACTGAAATAATTAACACAATAGACCAAGATAATAACTTGCAGACTTCCAAAAGATAATGAGGCACCCACAGTTGGGAGGACACCAAAACCCAGATAAGCCTCGACAAAGATAATGCATGCTTTGCTTCCAGCAACTTTGCCATGCGCAGTTTGCTCTTTTAAACAGTCTTCCCAGCTGCAGCTCATGAAGGGGATCAAGGCCCTTTCCTCCCCCGTAAACCACATTGCTCCCTTATCCGTCCCTCCCTGCATGCCCTAGGATGAAGAGGGGGTGGCCCTGGGTCTTCCTCTGAATGCCCAGCTGGACGGTGCCCTTCCCCAGTTTCCTCCACAACCACCGGAGCCACACTCCCACTCCCTGTCAGATGTTCCACCTCTCCCTCGGAATCAGATTCCAACTGGGGCGTGACAGTATTCATTTTAAAATGTGCAATCATCGTTCCCCTAATGGAGAAATAAGGGCTACAAGACCAATCTAGCTTTATACCACCAAGAGAGGTGTACATATCGTGAGGTTAAATCTAGAGGTAGACATGAGAGTCCACTTAAATCGGTGGGAGTTGTTAATCCTACTCCCGTTAGCATCAATAGGTCTAGCACGGCTGGATTCCTATCCTCTTTAATATGAGTTGGGTTTACTATCATCTGAGCGGCCTTAAAAATGCACAAACTCTGCAGGCAGCTTCTGTAACAAAAACCCAAAGTCACTGAGTCAATCTTCTCCTCTTCAGGGGCCGACCAAGCTTCGGTGTCAACCCACAACCACATCCAGCTAGTGAAGACCCAGGTCCACGAAGCCCGACAGCTGTCCCAGAAGGCCGAAACCCAGCTGGCCGAGGCTCAGACAGAGGAGCTGTTGAAGTTGAAGGAAGAGGAACCTTTGCTGGCAACCACTCAGCAGGCCGTCAGGGAAGAGACAGAGACAGAGGAAGCCTACCTTCGTGAAGACTGAGGGTTGCTGGCATGGACACGATCCTGCTTGGCGGGAAGGAACACCATGGAGAAGATGCCGCGCTCAGTGGCTCTCTGGCTTCCCCAGCCCGGTTGGCCCTTGGCTTTGAGCCCGAGGTGGTTCTGTTGCCTGTCTGTTTAAATTCACAGCTATGCAAATGCGAGATAATTCTACCCAGGGGGTGATTTTTCTGGGGCTTGAGGGCTGATTTGAGATGATCCATCCGCTGCCAGAATCTATATCGAGGTAATCGCACGTAATCACTTAAGGGCTGTGTCTTTGTGTTGACTTTTTTATTTTAGAAAAAAAGCGAAAGGCTTGTGTTGTGAAGGACAAAACGCTCTACCTGAAATTTCAAAGATTAGTTGTGGAGAATTTTAACCGTTTGGAGCCTAAATGTCATTTTTGTGTGGTTGGTTGTTTTTCTAGTGATGTACTCGGGGATCATTCTCCCCAAACCCATTTTTAAAATAAAAATCCAAGGAACAAAAACTTGACTCCTTTGTGGTAACAGTAGGGCGAAAAGTGCGCTGGGAAACACGTCCGTTGTTACGGTTGAGGGAACCAGGCTTGGCTTGTAGCCAAAGGGAGTCACTTAGGACAGGGGTGTCTCCAACCTTGGTCACTTTTAAGACGTGGGGACTTCAACTCCCATAGTTCCTCAGCCAGCGAAGAGTTACCCAGAATTCAGCATGGATAGGACAAGAAGAAATGTCAATAGGCAGCTTTATCACATTTCTTTCATAAACTTAATAATAGATGGTGGTAATGCGGTAGATGTAATATATCTTGACTTCAGCAAAGGGGGGGTGGGGGAACTTTCTGGCTGAGGAACTCTGGGAATTGAAGTCCACAAGTCGTAAAGTGGCCAAGGTGGGAGACCCCTAACTTAGGACAAACTCTTTAAAGCAGCTGCGTTCAGAAATCAGACCGGGAGCTGTGTGAAATAGACAACATTTGGAATGTTGTCAAGCAGATAGGACGCCTCTCTTTAATTATTTTATTGACTTTTCTGATGATGCCAGGTTTTGGAACCACTTGAGCAGAGTTAAGTTTGTGTTGAGCTAAAACAGGTGCATTATGTCTGCTTGTAGGTTGAGCTCCTGCATCTGTCATTTAATTTATGCAACGTCCTTATGCAGTCAGGCATAAACGTGGGTGCTGACTTGAGCAAGAGAAAAAGTCCGTCAACTCCTAGGTTTGCTCTTTGCCAGCAGCTGTAAAACGGGTGGAGTTCAATTCCCAGAATTCCCCAGCCAACAGAAAATCTGGTCGAATGGAGCAGCAGAAGAAGTCTGCCCTTGCTCTATAGATTATATCCCTTTTGGTAAAGCGACATCACACTCAAGAAAGGAGCCGCCTCAAAGAGGAAACCGGTCTTGCTCTCTTCAAACCTATTCCAAGGCTTCCAGCATTTTTAAGGCAGAGGAAGCTGAGTCCCACTTGATGTGTTGCATCTGAAACTCCACAGTTAGAGGCAGAGGCTGGCCAAGTTGCGGATCGGGTCCCTCTGAAGAATCCTTCTTCCGCCCCTTTCCTGCAAAAAGGTCCGAAATCAATCCCGCCGTTAGCGGTTGCCCAGGTTCAACCGCTCCCTCTCTGGACCTGTGTGTGTCATGTGTGAACGTTCTTGTGCACGAAACCATGTGGAGAAACGTTCAAGGCAACCTCCAACCGGCTCTCAAGACAGGCTGAGGTTCTCTCAAAAGTGTCAAGGACACCGCTTGGAGAAAAACCAGCCCCAGCTTTTCTCAACCTCGGCCATTCGAAGACGAGTGGACTTCAACTCCCAGAATTCCCCGGCCAGCCAGCACGCTGGGAATTGAAGTCCAACCACCTTCAAGCGGCCAAGGTCCAGAAATGTTGGTCAACAGAATCCTAGAACCTGGAGGTAGGTATAATAGGCAGGCAACAGGAGTTCAGGGTATGGTGGTTTGCCAATCGTTTCTCTCTTTTCTTTTTTAAGTTTCTAGTCCATAGGATGGCAGCAAAAACTTGCCAGTGAGATCTCGTACACCACTATGGGGAGTGGAAGGACAGGTGTTAAAAAATACAAATATTGAAGCTAACCCCTTTTGAATGCACTTAATGTTTCCGTGTTGGGTGAGAGTCCAGGAGGTTTGCAGTCCAAAGAACTTGTAGAGTTGTGTCATTCTGGTTGTTAAAATATGTTCCCAGCTGCAAATACTCCAGAAGTTCAGCTTTCTAGCTTACCTTTGACAGGGGATGGAGTCGGGGGCGGGGGTGTTCTTTTGGAGTTTACACTGTCAGTCCCAGGTTTGGCTTTGGGGTCCTTTTTTGCACCTTTCTTACCCTCCTGCAAAATAGACGATAGATTTCAGCATAACATTCCTTGTTTACGTTATTTTTTTAATTCATGTTTTCATTTTTCTTTCATATTGTTTTTCTTTCCTATCATTTTCCCCGTTTTTATTTGATACTGCTTTTTTGTACATTCAATATTGGTTGTTTTTTTTTTCATTTTTATTGAATGTAGCTCGCCAACTGCTTGCTGAGATGAGCAGCTCCACCAACCGAGGAAATAAGTACCTTTCCAGGCAATGCAACGGGATTTTGAAAAGGCCCATTCACCTTGTCTTTGGGGGATGGTGGGGTGACGTTCCGCTCGATTATCTGTACCCCAAAATTGCAGACGGTCTCCACCACCGAGTCCCCTGCTAGCAGCTTTTCTAAGCTGACGTGAAAGGATCCCAGGATCTTCACGATGGGCGGGTCGCTTCGGAGCTCTGGGGAAAGGGATTTCTTTTTCTTTTTGTTCCCACCCTAGTTGGACACAGAAGGGGATTTTAATGCAGGATTCTGTGCACCATCTTGGCTTTTTTTTGCCTCCCACAAACACACCATGGATGCTGATTGCATGGATCTGTTTCTTTCACTCCACCCTCCAATCTTGGAAGTGACACAAAACACGATGTTCTGCTTCTCACAGCCTTACCTTTCCAGAGTCCTTCCCTTTCCCTTTCTCCTTCTCTTTCTCCTTCCCTTTCTCCTTCCCTTTCTCCTTCCCTTTCTCTGCCTTTCCCGAATCGGCTTTTCCTTTCGCTCCTTTTCCTTTCTTGCCTGGCTTTTCTTCAGGAGTTGGGATCACGGGCCAGGAGACAACCTGCGAAATGAGTGTTTTGTTGCTCTGGAAGAAAGAGAGAGTTGGAGAGGACAGGAAAAGAAGGGAGGGAGGAAAGACGAAAGGAAAGGAAAGGAAGATAAAAAGGAAAGCGAAGGAAAAGAAAAAGGAAAGGAAGATAAAAAGCAAAGGGAAGGAAAAGGAAAGGAAGATAAAAAGGAAAGCAAAGGAAAAGGAAAGGAAAATAAGGGAAGGAAAAGAAAAAGGAAAGGAAGATAAAAAGGAAAGGAAAATAAAGAAAGCGAAGGGAAGGAAAAGAAAAAGGAAAGATAAAAAGGAAAGCGAAGGAAAAGGAAAGGAAAATAGGGGAAGGGAAGGAAAGGGAGTAGAGGGAGGGGGGAGGAAAGGAAGGAAAGGAAAGGACAGTAGGAAGACTTGCAACTGAAGACAAAAATGTCTCTTATCGCAGACAAGGACAAAAACTTGGTCCAAGTGGGGAAAACCAAGTTTAAAGAAACACACGGGATTGAGATCTGCTGAACTACTTGATGGGGCAGGATGCACTTAAGAAAACACACACTCGCACCCACAACCAGCCCAAGGTGGAGTTTCTTCTAAGCCAAAACTTAACGGAGAGCGCTACTACACCTTTTCCTGGACAACCGACACGGTGGTTCCGGCCAGAAGATAAACCTTGAGAGCCACCAGATCCTCGGTGAGGTGCTCTTTTCGGTAGTCACAGTCGACGGTCTCTGTCCAGCCCTTCTTGGCGGTAGTGTGTGTATTTGCTAAGTGGGCGAGAAGAAAGAAACCTGCCATTGAACCAGCGGCGGTTACCAGCTTTCCATTCCACCCACCCTTGGGTTGCAGACGCATTTTGGTAAAGGGAGAGGTGAAGCCACAAACCAGGGATTCACCCTCCTCCTCCTCATTCTCCAAATTTCTCAGTTACCCAGAAGTCCTCAACGCATAGGCTGAAAATCAGATGTTTTTCTCTGCAAACTGGTCAGCAACTGACTCCCTATTATAGGTGTAAAAAACACAGAAAGAAAACTACGGGGAAATGTGAGCTGCTCTGCATTCCACAACATTTTTTGGTGTTTTGTTTGCTTTTTTAAAACAAACAATAATCTTTCCCACAACTGGTTGGGAAGCCAGGCTGCTAACCTTGCTTCGTTCTCGCGGCCTGGCTTGCTGGCTAAACCTTGCTCATTTTGTGACGGTCAATGGATCACGTATCTCCAGTGGTGGGATTCAACAAAATTTTTTTTTTATTACTGGTTCTGTAGGCGTGGCCGGGGAAGGATACTGCAAAATCCTCCTTCCCTCCCCACTCCACTAACCTGCTTTCCAGCTCCGTTCTCCTATGCTGGGCAACCAATAAAGACCCAGCCAATCAGCTGGGACTTGGTAGGCAAAGAATAGATGGGGGCGGGGCCGGTCAGAGGCGGTATTTGCCGGTTCTTCGAACTACTCCAAATTTCCGCTACTGGTTCTCCAGAACTGGTCAGAACCTGCTGAAAACCACCTCTGCGTATCCTGCAGCCACAGGGAGGCTCTCAAAAGTTGGGCTCCTGGCACCGCAAAGAGTCCAAGGAGCAGATCCCCCTTTCCTACCTGCTGCGTTTAATCGTACCAAGAAGGTTACGCACCTCCCGGCTCAGGCTGCAGGTCTGACTTGGGCGAAGTCTGGGAAGACACGGGTTCAACTGTCTCTCCGGCCACCATCACCCCGGGCGAGCTCACCGCATCCTTTCCAACCAACGTGCCCCTGTGCTGGAGCAGAAACACACCTATGGTGCCCTCAAATGCTTCCTCCTGCTTTTTTTTTTTATTTTTTTTTTTAAGCCAGGGCATCCCCGATTTGGTCTGTTTTTAATCATGCACCCTGATATAATTTAGAAACAAAGGATTAAAAAGTTCCAAAGACTTCTTACCTTCCCGCTTGCCTTCTCTTTTCTTTCTCCTTTGGCAAATTCATACGTCACGTAGTAACTATAGCTTACAATCGGGGAGCCAGAGCTGCTTTCCAAGTCCTCTGGGTTAAATGGGTTGGGGACCCCTCGCATTTTGCCAAGGGTGACTATCAGTTGGACATCCAACAGTAAGATCTCTGGGAAAGCAGGGGAGGGAGGGGGAAAAAAATCTGAATTTCTCCAAGCTCCAGACAGGAGTCGTCATGTGAATTTGTTTAGCCAACTGGGGAGATTGGAGTTGACAGGAGTTAGCAGTCTGCCAATATTTGAGGGGCTGCCCCAAAGAAGAGGAGGGTCAAACTATGCTCCAAAGCACCTGAAGGCAGGACAAGAAGCAATGGATAAAAGCTAATCAAGGAGAGAACTAAGGAGAAATGTCCTCATAGTGAGGACAATTAATCGGTGGAACTCCTTGCCTCCAGAAGTTGTAAATGCCCCAACACTGGAGGTTTTTAAGAAGAGATTGGATCACCATTTGCCTGAAATGGTATAGGTTTTCTTGCCTAAGCAGGGGGTTGGACTGGAAGACCTCCAAGGTCCCTTCCAACTCTTGTTATCCCATTGCAATTCAATGATTCCGTTTTATGGTTATTTTTGTTATGGTTTTACCTTGATTTAGTGTTTTATCTTCTATATTGTATGGTTCACATATCGTAGACGCTAAACGAATGAACGAATGAGGGAATTCGTTCGCTCCAAGCTTCTGGAATGATTTTCAAGAAGATGGAATTCTATTGTTCAATTGTGGAGGCTGTTGTTTCCAGCCGCCTAAAACAACCGTCCACGAAACGTATGGAAAAGCTAAAACCTTTCTTAAAAGGGTTTAATAAAATCTGCCTGTCAGAAAAAGATGCTGCCTGACCGTAAGAAAACTCTCCTAAACTGCGAAAAGATCAGTAAAGCAGAAGGGGAGAAATTCGCCATCGGCAAATGAGGCGAAAAATCTGCAGAATTTCTCGTCAGTCCAGTCTGCCCATCTCCTCTCCACACCTTAGGAGAAGTCATCGAAGGAAGGCTAGGAAAGAGGATGTCTTAGCAGGGGAAAATACAAACCCCTTGGCAGGACTTTCTCTTCACCAATAAATCCCTGATGGGTAGGAAAGGAACCCCGAGGAGATGTGACCCCGAAGGCCAGGGAGAAGCCCTGGTTGTTTCTGGCCAACGATGCTCCTGTTTGGCTTTACACAAGCAGAACTTTGCATGGTGGGATTGAGGACGGGAGGAAAAGTCACCTGGGAAGGCGGCCAGGTTGAGGAAATTGTGTCTCTCCTCCGGGGTGATGATGACATCATCGAAAACGGAGAGGTGGGGCAGGCTGTCGATGGTGAAACCTCGGTAGCCCGGCAGGAGAGCAAAGGGGTTTCCTTGCAGCACAAGGACCCGGAGTTTTTTCAAGGTGGAAAGCGTGGAAAGGAGGCTCAAGAGGTTGGTGAAATTGTTGTAGCACAAGTCCAAGGAGACGAGGTTGGGCCTGAGGAGGAGGAAAATAGGTAGGTACAACACAGCTCCTCGTCAAGGAGAATATTGGTGTGATGACCCAAAGGGGCCTGGCACAAAAGCAACAAAGTCGGTAAAGTCCCTTTAATACCTTCCAACTTGGCCCCCAATGTCCAGTTATCATCGGCTGGAGAAAAAACCCTCCCAAGAACAGTCTTTAAAGGGAAGAAATTCCATCAGAACTCAAAGTACACATAAATTATAAATAAAAGCCAACACAAAGCGCAACTGCAGCAATTAATGAGACAGGGTAGGATAAGGAATTGCAGCCTTCAAAAGATAACAAAACACACACAGTTGGGAGGACGCTGGAACCCAAATAAGACTTGACAAACCAAAATAATTCATGCTTTGCTTTCAGCAAGGTGCTGTGCGCAAACGCCCTTTTTAAATCCTGTTTTCCCAGCTGCAGCTAATGAAGGGGATCAGGGCCCTTTCCTCCCCCGTAAACCACATTGCTCCCTTCTCCGTTCCTCCCTGCATGCCCTAGGATGAGGAGAGGGTGGGCCTGTGCCCTTCCCCAGTTTTCTTCCACAGCCACCGGAGCCCCACTCCCTCTCCCACTCCCTGTCAGCTGCTCAACTCCCCCTCAGAATCAGATTCCAACAGAGGCATGACAAAAGTTGGTAGCCCGGGATTGAAAGGAGGGCTCCTCCGTGCTCTCCGACCTCGATGGTTTTCTTGTAGACGTTTCATTAACTAGGTAACAATATCACTGCAGCACTGATGAGGCTACCTAGATGGGTAATGAGACGTCTGCAAGAAAATCGCCAAGCTCAGAGAGCACCAAGGACCCCTTAAAGCTCCCAAAAACTCAGAGTTTGGGCTAGGCTTTAAAAAAAAAAAGTCTCCTTTGTTCATCACATCTCAAACCCTTTGAATGTTTATCCCTTGGAGAAAAGAGAGGCCATTTTTCCACCCTCCGTTTGAGGGTGAATTTCAGCCACATCTTCTCTTCACCTCCAGATGCCTGAAGGGAAACTTCAAACGGGAGGGGAGACACGGCTCATCTCCCCCATTGTGCTCCCTCCATCCTGTGTGAAGCCTCCTCCCCTGCTCTCCTTTCTCCAGGGTGACTAGAAGGATCCAGATCTGGGGGAAACAGCCCCTTTTTAAAGAAGGGTGGGGGGGGAATCTCTTGACCCTCCCTGCAATGACCCTCCCTTCGTGCTTACCAGAAAGCAGCTGCCAAAAATTGTTCTTCCGAGGAACCAAGCGTGCAGTTGTGGCCGAGACCCAGATGCTGAAGTCCGGCTGGGGGAGATGTGCACAGGTCCTTTAAACTCTGCACTTTGTTGCCACAAAGCTCCAGCACCTGAAGGAAGGGAGGGGGAGGGTTGGAGGGATGGGAGGAAGGCGTGAAAAGTAAAGGGAGCAGTGGCGATAGCAAAAGCACTTAGACTTATAGACCGCTTCGCAGTGTTTTCACAGCTCCCTCTAAGTGGTTTACGGAGTCGGCATCTTGCTCCCACAACAATCTGAGTCCTCATTTTATTGACCTCGGAAGGACGGAAGGCTGAGTCAACCTTGAGCCGGTCAGGATCGAACTGCTGGCCGTGGGCAGAGTTAGCCTGCAATATTGCATTCTAACCCCTGTGCTTCCAGAGAGGGAGGGAGGGAGGGAGGGAGGGAAGGAAAGCAAGGAAGGAAGGAAGGAAGGAAGGAAGGAAGGAAGGAAGGAAGGAAGGAAGGAAGGAAGGAAATAAAGAGAAAGATTATAAGGGAGGAAAGCAAGGAAGGAAGGCAGAACAAAGGAATAGCACTTATATACTGCTTTATAGTGCTTTTACAGCCCTCTCTAAGCGATTTACAGAGTCAGCCTCTTCCCCCAACAATCCTCATTTTACCGACCTCAGAAGGACAAAAGGCTGAGTCAACCTGGAGCCGGTCAGGATCGAACTGCTGGCAGCCGGCAGTCAGCAGGATTAGCCTGCAATGCTGCGTTCTAACCAACTACGCCACCACGTCAGTCATTCATTCAGTGGCCATTCAAAGTTACAACGGCACGGAAGAAAGGGACTTAAGATTGGCTTTCAACTTTGCAGCATCCCTGCAGCCACGTGATCCAAATTCAGAGGCTTGGCAACTGGCATGGACTTCTGACGGTGGCAGAATCCCGGGTTCACCTAATCACCATTTGTCAACCTTCCCAGCTGGCTTCCGACAAGCACCGTCAATAGGGGGGAAGTTGGATTCGTTTAATGACTGCATAATTCACTTAACAACTGCAGCGACTCGCTCAACAACTATGGCAAACAATAAATAAATTACTAAGGGTGCCAACGGCAGCGTCGCTTTGCTTAATGACTACTGTAAAAAAAAAAAACCACCATGGGCTCAAAATTGCGATCGACTCGTTTTTACGACCATCAGAGTTACGGCCATGCTGGGCCAGCTTCATTACAGTCGAAATGTTGCATTTTTCAACCACGAGATAAGGCCAGCCGGCGATAAAAGCCATTTTATCTCCTCTCTCCGACCGACAGGAAATCCCATCTCACCACATGCCCAAATACGGTGAGGTGACGGAAGGGAGACTCCAAAAGGGTGTTTCAATTCCTCTGGACTCCGTGAACACTTTCTTATCACTTTCCACGCTTGAGAGAAAAGCCATTTATCCCCGGAAGATCTCGCAAGGGTTTTTACCTGTCTTCCCCGCCAGGATCTCGTCAGCCATCCAGGAATGAATCAAGCCCCAATTCTGTTTAATTTTAAAACCTTCCCACTCACCCACTCACAAAAGTTGGGAAATTTTATTTTTAAAAAAATTGTCTTATTTATTGGCGTGTATCTCACCTTTATGACGCTCTTTTGGATAAGGTCATGGGGTTTGTGTAATTTTTGCCCCGCTGTGTAACTAAGGATTGCATGGGGAGTAGCAATTAAGTGCTAGAGCCCACTGTAACTATATAGCCAAAAAGGCATTAAGAGTCGTTAACCTAATCCTATGTAGCTTTTTCTCTGGTAATATCGCACTACTAACTAGAGCGTACAAAACATTTGCTAGACCAATACTTGAATACAGCTCATCAGTCTGGAACCCGCATTACGTATTTGATAATAATACAGTTGAGAAAGTCCAGAAATATTTCACAAGAAGAGTTCTCCGCTCCTCTACTCATTGCAGAAGACCTTATGCCACCAGACTTGAAATTCTAGACCTAGAAAACCTTGAATTACACCATCTTCGGTCTGATCTAAGTATAGTATATAAAATCATACATTGCAATGACCTACCTGCAAATGAATACTTCAGCTTTAATCATAATACAAGAGCAAACAACAGATACAAACTCAAGGTAAACTGCACCAAACTTGATTGCAGGAAATAAGACTTCAGCAACAGAGTGGTCAATGTCTGGAATACTCTACCCGACTCTGTAGTCTCTTCCCCAAACCCCAAAAACTTTAACCTTAGACTGTCTACTATTGACCTCACCCCTTTCCTAAGAGGCCTGTAGGGGGCGTGCATAAGTGCACCAACGTGCCTACCGTCCCTGTCCTATTGTTTCTTTTTTTATTTGATTCCATTTCATGTATTCATAACTATGTTTATTCTTATACCTGTTATCTAATACTTGCTTGACAAATAAAATAAATACATTTATTTATTATTAAATTTATATGCCATCTACCTCACTCTACAAAGCGAGTCTCAGTGGCTTAAATCTGGTTATGGTTGGAAGTCCTGGTATTGGTCTTGCCTGTATCTCTCCCCGCACCAAAAAAAATCTGATGTTCTGATCCAAATACAGCCAGAAAATGGAGCCTGAAATTTCTGTCATTTAAGGAGTTGCTCCCTATTTTACGAACCTTTTCTTTTAATCAGGAGGTCCTTAAGTGAATCTGGCTTTCCCTCCATTGAATTGTGCTTGTCAGATGCAGGGAAGGTTACAAATAATAATAATTTGAGGACCCTACAACAGTCAAAAGTACATGCCAGTTGCCGAGCAGCTGAATTTGGATCACATGACCAGGTGAGGATCCTGCAACGGACATAAGGATGAAAACCGGTCGCAAGTCACTTTTTTCATTGCCATTGTAACTTCGAAAGACCGTTAAGTGAAGCTATAAGTTGAGGACTGTCTCATTTAAATGAAATAAATTCGTTCGCCTCGGTTCTTTAGAGGAGAAAGTGATTGTGCCGATATAAAGGTCTAATGGCGAAGGGTTGGCATTGTGCTCTCTCCACTAGGGATCACAGCCCACATGCCCTGATTTATAAAAACACACACAAGAGAGAAAAGGATTTTTTGTCCCTCCCTTCGAATTACCTTCAGGCCCGGAGGGAGATTAGCAGCAGGGATGGTGCTGATATGGTTGGCCGTCAAGATCAGCTCTTCCAAATTGGGGAACTTTAACAAACCCACATCGATTTCCGTCACCTGAAAAGGGAGTTGACAAAATGTGCCTCGGGACACCCAGAGGTCAATTCGGATGACCCATATTCCCACAAGCAACCCTTTAGACCAGCTTTCCAATTCAAGCTATGTGTCAGCGTTCCAGAAAACCTCCACTCCAACCAATAACTCCGAGACAGAAAAACATCTTGTCAAAAGTTCTGTTTTAACTGGATAGTAAACTGACACAATTGTGGAATCCCGAATCTAAAAGTTCCATGTTTCCTTGCAAGAAGTAAAAACCACAAATCCACCCCCTGCACCCATCATCGCATCACATGCCCCAATCACCATCCGTCCCAACTTGAGAATGTCCCCTCACCCAGGTGCAGATAGAACATGACCTTGACTTAGGAAAAGAATGTTATTTTATCTAACTACATACACTCCAAGAAATTCCCCCCCTCCATTTTCCCAGGCTCAAAATGTGGCAGCGTGGGAACGTCTGGTCTCAATATGGCTTCCAAAGCTGACACTATGTACTTGTCTGAGGTGATGAGATCAAATCTAACCCAAATCTAACCAGCATTTCTCTCATTTGGCAAGCCAGCACACACACACACAAAGGAGAAAACCCTCCCAGCCATCAATCCAGTGTTCGGCGGGGGCTGCCAGCACATTAGACCCATTTTAAAGAAGGGGAACATTTCACCCCAAAGATTCGACAGTCAGCAGAGCCCTCCCAACTTACCCCTTTGTTCACGATCCGGAGAGACCTGAAGTAGCAGCAGACGAAGCTAGTACGGACGATTTGGGGGTGCTGCACAGCCAGCTCCCGCAGCTGCTGCTCGGGGGGGCTGCAGTCGGGGGGCAAGGCCCAGGGGGAGTCTGGCCAGCGCAGGAACTCCGTCAGGGCTTCCACTGTCTCTTCATTGGGCGACAGGAGGCCATTGCGCCGGAGGAGAGTGACCGGTCGGGGAGCAGGCAGACCATGGAGTCGGGGAGGCAGGCGAGGTGGAAAGCGGGATTTGTTCTGAGAAAAGGGGGGCACAGAAGGGGGGAAGCCATTGAAGGGCAGAACACGGAGGATGCCCAGAGTTGCTGCAGATGGCAGGCATCTGCCCCCTGGTGCTAAGCCCTAAGAGGGCCTCTTATTGGCCTGGCTAACCGTGGTTTGAGCAATAAGCCACGATCAGCCAAACTTTGGCATGAAACCTCAAAGGGCTTGGCTGTGGATAATGGGCATTGAAATCTCCAGTGCCCCTCAGAATAGAATTCTTTATTGGCCAAGTGGGATTGGACACCTGAGGAATTTGTCTTCGCTGCAGTGTGCAGTGTGCGATCGTGATTTATCACTTATTGCTTGCATGTACACGGAGTGTGCCTCGGTGTACATACAAGCAACAAGCGATAAATCACGATCATAATCATAAAGAGAGCTGTGAAAGTATCTACAGACCCCTCACATCCTGGAGATTAACCCCCTTCCCTCAAAACAACACTATAGAGCACTGCACACCTGAACAACTAGACTCAAGGGGAGTTTTCTCCCGAATGCCATCACTCTGCTTAATTCCCTGAACAATTAATTCCCTGAACACTGTCCAACTATTTCCAAAGTCTGCACTACTATTACTGTTAATCTTCTCATCATTCCTTATCGCCCATCCCTTCCCACTACTTGTGACTGTATGACTGTAACTTTGTCACTTGTATCCTAACGATTTATATGGACTGTTTCCTAGTGTGATTTGATTGCTTACTGTACCCAGTGACTATCATTAAGTGTTGGACCTGATGATTCTTGACTCTTGACGGATGTATCTTTTCTTTTATGTACACCAAGAACATTTGCACCAAGACAAATTCCTTGTGTGTCCAATCACACTTGGCCAATAAAGAATTCTATTCTTCTATTCTAAAAAAAGAATGCTATAAAACACAATCTTTATAAATCATCAGATACAGTGATAGCCATGAGATACGAAATAAAAGCAGTCAACATAAATTATAAGACACAAACCACAAAGTTATAGTCTTAAGAGGCTAAGGAAATAGGTAATAGGGAAGGGGGGAAGGATAATAGATTCCAGCCCCCCTCCGAGACCCTGCCCTGGCTTCCTTCCTGGGGGATACCCTCAAGGCTGCCCCCTTACCCAGCTCCCCACCCCGCAAGGAAACTGGTCCAGGCACAATGTGCGCAGGTGGTCCCAAAAAGCAGCGGAGGCACTCAGCCCCTCCATGGCATGGCGGCCGCTGCAGGACCGGACAGCGTCTTCGGTTGCTAGGATATGGGATCTGGTTGCTAGGGGTGCCCAGCGACGCTAGGGGAGGGAGATGCTGCCTGGTCTTAAAGGGGCCGGGGTCAGAGGGGGGGGGGTCTCTCCTGCAGGTTGCCAATCTGGGTTTTAAAACAGCCACGATCTGTGCCAATTTTACCCAACTTGGCCCATTTCAGAGACTATCCTGGTACCGGGTTGGCAGGAAAGCTTGCTAGAGATGAACGCCAGCAGTTGGCGCTCTCCTCACTGTACTTTCAACTGATAGATCTTTATTTTTTATTTAAATAAAATCATTTTGTGGTGTTCTTTCCGTTACAAACCCTTCTGAAAATGACTTGGGCGGTGGAAGGCATCTGATTGATGTCACACAATGTCCTTCTCAAGAACGTTCTTCCTCTCTAGGTGTGTGTGGGGGAAAAGTACCTGGAAAAATACAATTCTGGAGTTTGGAGGCAGATGAATTAAGTTTAGATAACAATAAACTTAATTGTCTTAAGTTTATCTTAAATTATTCAGATAAGTTTATCTTAACTCCCCTGCCTCCAAACTTTTAGTCCTTTTTTTATCTTACAGAACGTACAGCAGGAAAAGGCAAAGAGGACATAGGATGCAATGAAGAGACATCAAATCAAACCAGGATTAGAGATTCAAACACAATATAGGTTACACGGTATAGGTTACAACTTACGACCAAAATTCAGCCCCGAATTTCTGTTGCTAAGTGAGAAATGTGTTGCCCCATGTTATGACTTTTCCTTGTCACTAAATGAATGTTGTAAATCAAGGACTACCTGTAATCCCAATGGATGCTATAATCCACCTTCAGTTTAGCCAAGTTTGTGTGGAATGGACAAAATCCTTCCCAAAGTAAGCCTACACAACACTCCATTTTCACAAGATGTGCATTAAGATCTAATGGAGACCCTTCCCCTTTATTTATCTGATCAATCAAAGCCTTGCTCTTCTCTTGCTTGGGGTCAGCAGAATCCAAGGTTGAGGGTCTCTGCGAGGAAGGGTCAACCCAACCAAGATGATAGACAGAACCATCCAAGGGTCGTTCAAAGTCCCTTTTGGACACTATGCCCACCACAATTGGACCCATCTCGGGATATCGGACCAGTGGAAACTGGACTTCCAGCAAGTCTTTCAGACTGACAGCATCATGGCAACAGCCCCCAGATACCTCTATCGAGGGTGATCTTAGGAAACTGATCACAATCACTCGCGCTTCGTCAAGAATAGGAAACAGATAGTCATCTTCCTCAGGAGGGAGCTTAAATACGGCGCGACCGACAGCCAAAGCAGAGAAGCCAACTCAGAAGAGGCCAGCCAAAGCCGAAAAAGACTTCTGACTCCTTGCACTTCGTTCACCATGCTTAAAGGTAAGCCCACATCAAGATTTGGAGTCCAATGGATGGCATCGTTTCATCCGTACGCACTCTATTTTTTCAGCTAAAATATGTCTGGACTAGTCTTCTTCCAAAATCAACCCAGACTTTGAATCTGGTTTCAAACTCTTCCAAAATAAGTGCAGAAGCAGAGATGATTTGATGGAAGATGTTGAGATGTCCATCTCTGGCAATTTGTAAGATCTGCCGACATGGTTGGCTGGGGAGTTCTGGGAGTTGAAGTCCCCAAGTCTTCAAGTTGCCAAAGTTGGACATCCCTGTGCATGGGTAATTAGAAAGCCCTTTTAACCATTAATCAAATAAATTATGAATATTCATAGGTCTCGGGTACCAAGGGGGTCCTTCCTTCGGGGGCCTTGATTTGCGAAATTTAAAAAAAGCAAAAGTCCGCAGTGAAAATGAAGGTGGATAAACCTATCTGGAGAGCTTCAGGATTGGGAAAGGGGTGTGTGATAAACAGGATGGGATGATCCATTCAATCTCTTATCCTGATCATCAGCAGTAAGGAAAAGATCTAGTTGGATGTGATCCCTGGATTAAATCAGCTTTCCAGAGATTGAGAAGCAGAGGAAGGGATCCGTTTTCAGAGGAAAGTGGAATCTTGCAGAACTCCTGGGCTCTTTGGAAGAAGAACCAACCCACTGTTTTAAATCATGGCCTTGACTCATAATTCATTGATCTGCTTTCCCGACAGAAATGACCTTGCTGGTGATTGTCCTGTGGGGCAGCCAGGGAATGCCAACTACACCCCCACCACAGCAAAGTCCCCGGGCGTTGACTGAATTATACTGTAAAGCAGATGCGCTACTTCGAGACTATAAATCCGTAAGTATGCTGGACCGATGCCCCCTGCCCTGGTTGACTATTAGAAGTGGAGACCCTAAACCTTAGGTAGATTCCTCCTTTCCGCTTAGCAAGCCAAACTGAGATGTCTGTCTTTCCATCTGTCTCTTTCTCGTGCAAGCCCAGAGCTCCTTAGTTCGTAAGAGTGGCTTTCAGACCTTACAAAACTCCCTTTCAAAACCTGAGATGTGGGCAGCATCTGGAGAGGCAATTTCTCCAATGGTCACCTTCATCAGAAGGACAATAAAATGTAGACAATAAAATGTAGGTGTTGGGTGGGAAGCCAACTTGAACTGACCCAAATCTTTGGTTCCAATTTTTGTAGGTCGATAAGAAATTTTTGCCTCCTCAAACAAGACCAGTCCTGGCCTCCGTGTTTTCCCAACCGGGCTGCAATTTCACCAAAGCAGAGGAAGAATGCCAAATTCTCCGGGCATTTAACGCGCTGTTTCTCTGGCTGGACAGCAACTATCCCCAAGAGGAGCTGCTGAAATCCGTGAAGAATTCTTTCAACTTTCTGATCGAGCTGCAGAAAATCCACGTGAGACAAACCTGTCCGGAAGGAGCATCGGCAGACAAAGTACCAGAGATCACCTGCCCCAAATACAGCAGTGACACGCCCGAATTAGAGAACAAGTTTCACTTTATTTTTGAGCTCTACAGAGACCACATTCACAACCTTTGGCGTTCAAAATTACCGGAGGAACAGAGAAATGCAACTGACGTGTGTGGAGTTATGGATTAATTAAGGAATTGCAACTGAATTTTACCAAATGAATTAATATAATTTCATAATAAAGTTCATTTATTGTGTATTTCTTAGAGAAACAGTTCCATTGGTTTGACAGAGAAACCAATTATTTTATTAAATTTTAATCTATTTAAAATATTTGAATTATCTTAACTGAATGAATGTATTTAAAAGATGTTCTTGGGTGAGAGTATTTTTAATTTAAGGAATGCAGTTAGGGTGCTACTGAACATTAAATTTATTATTTTAAATTAAGATATGTTAATTCTAAGTGAGTCATGTATTTAATGTATTTAATCTATATGCAATAAACAAATATACAAAAAAAGAAAATGGTTTCTTATCATGATTTGGAAACTATATTTTTTGTTATTTTATTTCTGTTTTCCAGGATATTACTTATTCCCATCTGCTTATGTTGTCATATAATTTCAAATTTGATTCTGGGTTTAAATTCCATCTTCTTGAAAATCATTCCAGAAGCTTGGAGTTCATTAATTCCCTCATTCATTCATTTATTTATTTAGCATATATCTAAGATGTGTGACTAGAATAGAATAGAATAGAATAGAATAGAATAGAATAGAATAGAATTGTTTATTGGCCAAGTGTGATTGGACACACAAGGAATTTGTCTTTGGTGCAAATGCTGTCAGTGTACATAAAGAAAAAATAAAATACATTCATCAAGAATCATAAAATGCAACACTTAGTGATAGTCATAGGTTACTAATAAGCAATCAAATCACACTAGGAAACAAATAAAACAATAATAAAGATACAAGCATCAAGGTTATAATCATAAGTGGGAGAAGATAGGTAATTGGAAGGATGAGAATAATAATAATAGTACTGCAGTTTTAGTAAATAGTTTGACAGTGTTGTGGGAATTAGTTGTTTAGCAGAGGGATGGCATTCAGGGAAAAAACTCTCCTTGTGTCTAGTTGTTCTGGTGTGCAGGGCTCTATAGCGTCATTTTGAGGGTAGGAGTTGTCCAGGATGGTTTATGTCCAGGATGTGAGGGGTCTGTAAATATTTTCACAGCCCCCTTTTTGACTCATACAGGTCCTCCATGGAAGGCAGGTTGGTAGTAATTGTTTTTTCTGCAGTCCTAATTCATCTCTGGAGTCTGTGTCTGTCCTGTTGGGTTGCGGAACCAAGCCAGACAGTTATAGAGGTGCAGATGACGGACTCAATCATTCCTCTGTAGAACTGGATCAGCAGCTCCTTGGGCAGTTTGAGCTTCCTGAGTTGGTGCAGGAAGAACCTTCTTTGTTGTGCTTTTTTAATGACATTTTTGATCTTAGGTGTCATACAATAACACTAAATCAAGATAAATCAAGAACTATACAATAACACTAAATCAAAGTAAAACCATAACAAAAATGGAGCGGTCAAATTGCAATGGGATAACAGAATAACAGAATTGAAAGGGACCTTGGAGGTCTTCTAGTCCAACCCCCTGCCTAGGCAGGAAACCCTACAACATTTCAGACAAATGGTTATCCAATGTCTTCTTGAAAACCTCCAGTGATGGAGCATTTCCTGTCAGAAATGTCTCCTTATTTCCAGATTGAATCTCTCCTTGACGAGTTTCCATCCGTTGCTTCTTCTCCTGCCTTCAGGTGCTTTGGAGAATAAGTTGACCCCCTCTTCTTTGGGGCAGCCCCTCAAATATTGGAAGATGCTCTCCTGTCTCCCCTGGTCCTTCTCTTCCCTAGACTAGCCAGGCCCAGTTCCTGCAACCGTTCTTCATATGTTAATCTCCAGCCCCTTAATCATCTTGCTCTTTCGCCGCACTCTTCCCAGAGTCTCAACATCTTGGCAACCAAAACTGGATGCTGTATTCCAGATGTGGTCTTGCCAACGATGGACCTTGTACTTAAGATACCTGAGCAAGCTAACCTATCACTTCTGGTGTGGCTGCAGTGAGACCATCCCAGGTGCCCTGACATTTT